GGTGTGTCCACGCTGGGCTGGGACTGCAGCCTCTCCCTGTCTCCGCCCCCCCTCTCCAGGTCACTCCAGGTGACCCCGCAAGTGGCAGTGGCGTTGCTAAATGGGGATGTGCAAAGCTCCCGGGATCAGCGGGAGCCTGCGCGTGGGTGTGCGCTGGGGGCGCTGGGCAGGCCCAGGTGCGAGCCTGCAGCCTGACCTCCGAGCTCTGCAAGCCCCGCACCCGGGGGCCCAAGCTCCCAGGGAGGAACTCAGCCCCCGGAGGGCAGGCACTGGGTCTGTGTGCTGGGCGCGCTGGGCGCGCTGGGCAGGCCCAGGTGCGAGCCTGCAGCCTGACCTCCGAGCTCTGCAAGCCCCGCACCCGGGGGCCCAAGCCCCCAGGGAGGAACTCAGCCCCCGGAGGGCAGGCACTGGGTCTGCCTCACAGCTGCCCAGGCAGGGGGCGGGGAGCAGACCCAGACCCCAGAGCCTCCTAGGATCCCGTGCCTCACAGCTGCCCAGGCAGGGGGCGGGGGGCAGGGACCAGACCCGGACCCCAGAGCCTCCTAAGATTCCAGCTCTGCCTCCGCTGCGGGCTGCTGCCCGGTACCTCAGTGTCCCCACCCCTAAAGTGGGAACCCTCATTCTACCATTTGTAGGGAGGACCTAGGAGGTCCTGAATGAATTAAAAAAAAAAATAGAGCCTGGGCATGCAATCCACATCGTCACATTTCATTGCTTGTTTATTTTTAGAGGGAGTAAAAGGGAGGAAGTGAGAGGGGGGGAGAGAGAAACATCGATGATGAGAATCATTGATCGGCTGCCTCCTGCACGCCCCCTACTAGGGATCGAGCCTGCAACCCCAGTATGTGCCCTTGACCGGAATCGAACAGAGAACTCTTTAGTCCACAGACCAGCGATCTATCCACTGAGCCACCCAGCCAGGACCCGCTGGAGCATTTTAAAGCAAACATCAGGCAGCATGTCCTTTCAGCCCCCAATTTTGCCACAAGCTGTCGTTGACTTTAAAATCCTTCATCCGACCCCACCCCCACCCCCACCCAAGAAACCAGAGAAGGCGAGGATGGCGCAAAGTTCTCGCTGGCGAAGTCTGGTTACGGCCCGAGGGTGTTCATTGCGGCCCTTTTGACTTTTCTGTATGTTGGCAGCTTTGCGCAGTCAAACCTCCAAAAGGTCAAAGAGCAAAGGAACTTCTCCCTCTCACCGCCCCCCCTCCCCCAGGGGCAACACCGCGCTGGTTTCCGGGGATCCTTCCAGAGCGTGGGCGAGGCTGTTGCTGTCTTTATTAATAGCAGCTGTAGTAGCGTGAAAACCGATGCCTGTGGTGGACAGCGCCGTGAGTCAGCCTGGCCCCCGGCCCGGCCCGCTGACACCTCTGCCCCTCTGGCCTGCGGAAGGCCATCTGTGTCTCGGAACCTCAGTTTCCTGCTCTGCAAACTGGGGATAAATCTACACTTTTATCGGGTGGCTGGGAGGAGCCCCGTAAAGCAACGCCCTCCGCCCCACCCCCAAGCCAGGCTCAGAGCAGGTGCTGAGGGTGTGGGTGAAGCCCTTTCCCCACCCATCTCTGGGCTGCGGGGGCCCCTGGGTCTGAGGGAGGAGGGGCTGGGGGCCTGGGTTCCTGGGTCTGAGGGAGGAGGGGCTGGGGGCCTGGGCTCCTGGGTCTGAGGGAGGAGGAGCCGGAATCCTGACTCAGCAAGGACCCGGGCCTCCTGCCGCCCCCTGTAGGCCAGTTTGGCGCGGGCACCGAGTCCTACTTCTTGCTGCTGCGCTTCCTGCTGTTTCTCAACGTGCTGGCCTCGGTGCTGAAGGTCTGCATGACGCTGCTGCCCACCTGGCTGGACGGCGGCCCCCCGGGCCCCCCGGATCCCCCGCCCCCCTCGCCC